CTGACGCCAGAGAAACACCGAGGGATGTAAACGCACGGCGCCGAGTAGCGAGTTGCTGGCGAGCTAACACAGGTCCAGAGCATACATCGAGGAAGCACTTTTGCTGACGCCAGAGAAACACCGAGGTATGTAAACGCACGGCGCCGAGTAGCGAGTTGCTGGCGAGCTAACACAAGTCCAGAGCATGCATGGAGACAGAAACGTTAGTCGAGGTATTTCCCGTAATGGGAAGATGCCAATAACGTCAGGACTTGAGCTGGACCCTCCACTTTTTCTGGGGCCAGAGAAACACCGAGGTATGTAAACGCTCGGAGCAGAATAGCGAGTTGCTGGCGAGGTAACACAAGTCCAGAGCATGCATTGAGGAAGTAACATTAATTGAGGTATTCCCCGTAATGCAACAGGCGTGGGAGTGCGAACTGCCCGCACACAATCCATTCACTGGCGGATGCGACAGAGTTCCATATAGCTGGCCTGGAACGTAGTACAGTCTGAAGGGCAGGACGCTCTCATAACAGTATTGATCCTGCCAGCGGTTCAACAAGGGCCACTCCTCCGGGCAGACGGGAATTCGGCAGAATGCACTTTTAACATTGAGCTTAGCAAGATACAGCGGGGCGAGCAATTGTCTAATCATGTTTGCAGCATTGTCATCTTGACATTGTGGAGAGATACGGTCTGCTGGAATGTAATCGTTGACACTTCGACCCTCCAGGCTTTACAAAGGGTGTGTCGTGTGTAACTTCCCGTTCGTCTAGGAACCGCATCTACGCCGGAACAGCACAGAGGCGAGAAAGGAGGTGAAGAATACGGGCCAGCTGTTTCAAGCCTGCTGCAAGAAACGGATCGGCCAGCTGTTTCAAGCCTGCTGCAAGAAACGGATCGTTGCGCAGAAATATAATCTGGGTTAGCATGTGACCGTGTTAAATTCAATGGATCCCAGTTAGTTGAGTGGTTGCCGATGAAACCTACCACAACCCCACAATTACGACCATGTGCAACATACCTCAGGAGCATAGGATCAGGATGTGAGTCCAGTAATTTTGAGAAGTGAGAAACTGAGTGCTTACACAGTTACTGATGAGGCCTTACACTTTGCCCTGGGGTGCTCCTGTCGGCACTGGAGGTAGCACTGCCTGAGCTGACACGTGCAAGCGCCGTACTCGTAGTAGCGGCATACGGTTGCGGTACGTGATGCGGATCTGTACTGGTGAGTAGGACGAAATGCGCACGGAAATGCTGGCGAGTGCACTGAGCTACACTGCTGGCAGGCGGGTCGCGCTGTTCCAGTACACCGCGAGGCGCAGTTGATATTGATAACCTGGCTTTGGAGATTTATTTTATTTTCCATTGCTATCAGGTTCGGCTTAATTCCCTCTGTGCTGCGCTGATGAATCCACAAAGGACGAAACAGTTGTCCACAGATTGAGTATTGATAACGTCCAGTTTCTAGGTGGCAAAAACTGGCGATTGGCCGAGACGATCGTGGCCAAATACGTCCACAGGCACTCGTGAAACGCGGTGAGGAACAGTGGAACACAGACCATTCATGAACACTGTCCAGGTCTCAACTCAAGTGCTACCGTCATGCAGCCTACGAAGCGCAGTTCTGGGTTCGGATTCAAATAAATGCTAGTGCGCCAGAAGAGCAACATATGAGGGGCTACGAAGTTGGAACGTCGCCGGAGCTGGACTGACTGCAACTGTATCGGGCAGCAGGAAATCGAAGTCCACGAACTCGCCTCTCTGGACACGATCGAGAAGGGCCCGTATAGGACAGTCAGGTTCACCTGCTGTTGGTGCTGCATGCGCATATGGCGGTCGTCACTGCACCGGGCTCCCAGTAGGGTCCGGCCTGCTGGCGGCGAGCGGCGATACGGATCCAAGTAGAGCGAGGAGAAGCTGGGTGGCGTTGGTGACGGCAGTGGACAACTACCGTTGTTACTTCCAACAGAAAATCAAAGTCCACGAACTCGCCTCTCTGGATACGAATTACGATCGTCAGGCTCGCAAGGAAATTGTTTCGGGAACACCTGTTCCGCAAGTTGCACGCTCGAAAGTCCAAACAGCAATGACATGAAAGAGACATTGTACAGGATTTTGAAGGGCGCGTGCCCACGTGACTCGCGCATGCGTGCAGGTTGGGCCAGCTCGCTGGGCTGGCTGCTAACTCGCGTTAGCATGCTAACGCTCATTTATATCCGTCATCGCTCACTCAAATCTTTGTAGTCGTATCGCAAAGAACTTTTTATCACTGAAAAGCTGAGCTCAATACCTTTCCAACGGTATATCGTTTGTGAAAATCGGCCAACGTTGACATGAGTAATGACAGTTTGTTCAGTGATAATTATAATATGTACCGGAAGTGCATATTATGCACTTCGTACTATTGCGTGGGCTGTGTAGCGAGATATCTCGCCATCTGCCGTTCAGGCACACTTTACAGAGCGAGATATCTCGTCATCTGCCGTTCAGGCACACTTTACAGAGCGAGATATCTCGTCATCTGCCGTTCAGGCACACTTTACAGAGCGAGATATCTCGTCATCTGCCGTTCAGGCACACTTTACAGAGCGAGATATCTCGTCATTAGCACTGAAAGGGTTAAAAGTAGTCATTTGGGTATCAGTGACCTGGCAGCCTGTTTCAGGTGTAATGTAGAATTAGGTGACCAGCTTTCCCTTCACACACAGTGCATACTCTTGTGCCTTTTAGGTGTAATTTATCATCGATTTAGGTACCTGGTTTCTCCACCCAAAATCAACGAAATCAAAGTTACACCGAAAATTGCATGTTTTACAGTATGCGGAAAACCAGTTGAGAGGATATATTCACGTATGAGTCAGAAATGCGAGTTGAGGTAGAAGGTGGGAGGGTGGGAACAAAACGTTCTGCGAGTTGCAAGCTCGAAAGTCAAAAACAGCAATGAACCCTCAAAGAGACATTGCGCGGGATCTTTTAGGCCGCATGTCGGTGTGACTTGCGCATGCGCGCGAATTGGGCCAGCTCGCTGGGCTGGCTGCAAACTTGCGTTAGCATGCCAACAAGAACAACAACAACAACAACTACAACAACAGCAACAACAACAGCAACAGCAACAGCCACAGCAACAGCAACAACAACAACAACAACAACAACAACAACAACAACAACACACACACACACTGTAAATCAAACCTTAAGGTTATGGTGCACTCTGCTGGCAAGGTCTGGTAGAAGTTTCGAAAGAGTCTAGCTGAAAAAAAAAGCCGCAGATAGCCGCCAACATTCGGTACTGTAGGAAACACAATGTCATAATACACAAGGGACAGAGTTGCATTGCTGTGGCCGGGTGCTGGTGTAGAAATGCGCATACATGTATCAAGTACTCAATGATGCAGACAGCCAGACTGTTTCGGCCAATGAGGCCTCATCAGTGCAACTCCAAGCTTAAAATAAGATTGAACTGTCAGCCATGGCTACGAGAACCACAGACATTAGGACAGCTCGATGTACAGTAGGTATCGGTTATAGCGTGGGTGTTTGAAAAACGACTTTCTATTCTTATTTCCGATATTTCTTACACACGATAAATCAAGTGTGACATATCGTGTGCATGTGCGCAGAGGCAGGAAGATCATCGTACATACAAGGTAGTGCTACTGTGCATGCGGCTGGTCACAGTCAGATAGGTTTATCATGTGGCTATGCAATAGAGTTACATGACCACAATAGTTGAACCTGCAGCACTACGACCCAACGCGAGTCAGATCAGAACTGCTTTGGACGGATGTTATTACTACAGGCGATATACTTTGTACTGATCTGGCATGTTTCGCTACACAAAGTCCATTCTTAGGACCGATATATTCTACTGTACGAAAAAATTGCTTGTAAGAATAATTAGCATTCCGCGCACGCAGACGGCATGCAGGCAGGCATACATCATTAGCATTCCGCGCACACAGACGGCATGCAGACAGGCATACACCACACGAATAAGGCTAGGTTGTGTTGGGTAAGTACTGGTGACGAGGAACTGGTTGGTCTTTGCCGCAAGGTAGGCACGAGCCCGTGAGGCTGCGAGTGCCGCAGAAAGGCAGAAGCCCGGAGGCTGTGATTGCCGCAGGAAGGCAGAAGCCCGGAGGCTGTGATTGCCGCAATGGAAAGGCAGGACCATAAGGCCATAATGCCGCAATAGAAAGGCAGACCAGTTATGAGTGACTCGCCACCAGGTTTATTGTACTTGAAGTAGGAATGATGCAATGTAGTATTAATGGTTAGTGGTGGGATGGTGGGTCAGCAAAAGACAAAGGCAGCAGGATGCAAGTCGGGCATGAGCCAAAGCAGAGAAGACTCAAAACTGAGAATGGCAAGGAGATGTGCCACGTTGCGGACTCGGACCCGATCAAAACTAAATTAATTATTGTGATGGCGTACGCATAAATTAATGTGATGCACAGCAGGCGGTCTTGCCGGTCGCGGCAAGGCGCGCTAAACAAGTGCCGCGGCCAGAACCGTAGAGGGCGCTGTAGCGCAGCAGATACGTAGTTGCGAGATGTGCGCCTACGCTAAACTGAATTCATTACATGAATACATCATTAGCATTCCGCGCACGCAGACGGCATGCAGGCAGGCATACATCATTAGCATTCCGCGCACACAGACGGCATGCAGACAGGCATACACCACACGAATAAGGCTAGGTTGTGTTGGGTAAGTACTGGTGACGAGGAACTGGTTGGTCTTTGCCGCAAGGTAGGCACGAGCCCGTGAGGCTGCGAGTGCCGCAGAAAGGCAGAAGCCCGGAGGCTGTGATTGCCGCAGGAAGGCAGAAGCCCGGAGGCTGTGATTGCCGCAATGGAAAGGCAGGACCATAAGGCCATAATGCCGCAATAGAAAGGCAGACCAGTTATGAGTGACTCGCCATACCGCCAGTACATACCCATACACAACAGTATTGCAGTGCAGCATAGCATAGTTCATTATGAGGGAATTGTGTGAATTGAGAAACATCGGTGTCAGGGAGATGATCTTACTGAGGATAGTTTGCTGGCCAGCGTTCGGGCCGATGACGGTGGTGTCCGGATGTAGCGTAGGCATGCATCACTGCGCCACCGTCCCGCGGAGCGGATCTGGTGGTCGGGGACGCCAGCAAGGGCAGCAGTGGTAGCGGCCCCGATACGGAAGCTGTGGCCTGCATAGTCCTGCCAGTTTGCCACGCCGCTGGTGCTAAGCAGCGTGCGTACGTGGGCTGTAAAAGTGCTGCGGTTGAGGCGTTGCCCGTTGGCCAGGATGAACACAGCACTGCCTGGACGAGCAGAGGCGGTTGCAGTGAGGTAGGTGAGCATGGCTCTCACAGCGCAGTATGGCGGCACCGCTGGCCCGATCAGCACCGTCGTACCTTCCCCGGACGGGTCTGTCTTCGAGCGTGGTAGGTGCACATGGAGCATCCCTGACTCGAATGTCAAACAGCCGCGCGTGGTAGGTGCTTCTAGCAGTTCACCGCATCTGAAGAAACCAAAGAACACGGCAAGCATAGCGGCATGCAGGCAGCGCTTGTCGTGAGGGCACATGGCTGGAGCAGCTAGGCAGGTGTCAACCAGACTGCAGAGAATAGGAAACGTGATTGGCAGCCGGGGGCGGACAGCGGCTACTCCATGGCAACGGCAAATACCGCGTACCACTCGCTTGAGGAAGTGCGCGCCCTCGGTCGGGTCGACATAACCGAGCTCCAGGTGCAGGTTCTTGATAGCACTGAGGTAAACCTTAATAGTCACTGGTCTGACCGACTGGGTTAGGGAGGCAGCAAAACTACTCAGCATTAGGTCTGAAGCGGGAAACGGGGACCATCTTTGAAGTTGGCAGAACTTGAGATACTTAGATTCGCCGGCGGAATACGTTCGTCTGGTGTTGTCGGATAGAGCGTGAGCAGCATATCGTGCTGCTAATTCGTCCGCGGCAGTTAGAATGACTGGAACAGGTCGGCTGTCGCCCGAGCTCCCGGAACCGCCTCGCGAAACGCCTGCATGTTAAAACGAGACAGAGCATCAGCGGCTTTGTTAGTGCATCCTGGAATATGCTTTGCTGACAGAATGAAGCCAAAGTTAGCGCACATGAAGAACAGCCGTCGTATCAGGTCCATGACTGGGGGGGAGCGGCTACAACCATTGGACAGGCATGCCACTACGGCTTCGTTATCGCAGTACACGAGTATGCGGAGCTTGCGCCATTCAAGGCCCCAGGAGGAGCAAGCTGCGGCAATGGCGAACATCTCCTTCCACTCGATGGAGTAGTCGGCTTGTTCCGGCAACCACTGTCCCTGGATCCAGCGATGGCCATAACATGCGCCCCAGCCGATCGAACCGCTGGCATCGGTAAACAATTGGATGTCGGGAGACGGGGTCCAATTTGGCATATGAAAGAAGGACTTTCCGTTCCATTGCGAGAGGAGGCGTTGCCACCACTTCAGGTCTTCCAGGGCCTCGACTGAGAGTTTGATCTTATAGTGTGGCTGACTGTAGCGGTGACAAATATCCCAGAGTCGGCGCATGAATGTCCGACCAGGTATAATTACCCGAGCTGCGAAGGAGAGTTTTCCCAATAGTGAGTCGAGTTCGCGTTGGGTCATGTCGCCACGGTTGACATACTGGTCGAGCAAGGTGCGGAGATCTTGCAACTTGGTGTCTGGTAGCCGGGCCTCCAGTCTGCCACAGTCCAGCTCGATGCCCAGGAACGACAGCACTTGAGCTGGACCTTCCACTTTGTCAGGTGCCAAGGGGACTTGGACATAGTTAAAACAGCGAAGCAGGATTGAAGCACGTTGGTTCGCCACCAGCTCCGATGGAGAAATGCAAAGGAAATCATCTAGATAATGGAGCAGGTCAGTAATAGAAAACTCATAGCGAGCAATCCATTCAAGGCAGTCGGCAATAGAGTTAAAAATGGCAGGGCTGGAGCGTAAGCCAAAGGGGAGCACAGTGTCGAAATAATATTGGTTTTGCCAGTGAATACCTAGCAGAGGCCAGTCTTCCTGCCGCACAGGTACAATGCGGAAAGCACTCCGAATGTCAAGTTTGAAAAGATAAGCAGAACGACCGTACTGCATAATGGCATCGATCGCGTGATCAATAGTGATGTAATGCAAGCTGAAATCTTCACGTGAAATTCCATCGTTTACACTTTGACCCTCTGGGCTAGAGAGATGGTGGATTAAACGAAAGCGGCCGTTCTTTTTCGGAACGCAGCCAACACCGGAGCAATGAAAAAAAGGAAAAAGCGAGGAGGAAAAAGGACCTAGCAGTTCAAAGCGGGAGCAACATTCTTGCAGGTATTTGGTAATAAAATCGGGATGCATCCTCGCAGAAGGTAAGTTAGGGGAGAACATGCTGGTTTGGCGTGGGCCATTGAAGCCGATGTCAAAACCATACGTAAGGCCATGAAGTACATATTTAACAAAAGCTTGATCGGGGTGTGCACGCAGTAAGGAACGGAGGCGATTAACGTGAATAGGTGTGCGGCAAGTGTGAAAGAATGTAGGGTGTGTCCGGAGAATGCTACTATCGAGATGCAGTTCATTAAGCTTTGTTCTGCCGCTGGTTGCCAGTGGAGAAGCGACGCGGGCAGGAGGGGCGGGCATGTGCGCCCTCACATTGGGAGCAGACGTGGGCAAATTTACAGTCGGTGTTGGAGCATCGACCTTGCTGGAAATTCCGGCAGATCTCTTTGCCAGACTTGGTGTAGGCAGACCGTGGTGCAAACTGCTGGTTTGGTACTCGGGAGGCACGAAAAGGGCACTGGCTACCCGATGGAGGGTGAGTGATCCGGCATGTGCTACACTGCGGGCGTGAGCGGCCTGTCATTTTCAGTTGCCAGAGATTGCCGTCAATGGCGTCCCAACGCTTACTGGGGTCAAGAGAGATTGCCAGACGGAACTCCCGGTCATATTCGAGCCAGGCCTCCGGATAGTATGAGGAGTTGGCCGATACAATGGTGGCCTGATATGCCATCAGTTCGGAGAAACGGCTGGGTGCGTGCGAGCATAGTACGAACATATATCTGGACCAGGCTTCTAGCCATGTAACCAGGTCGTGAACATGCCTACGAACTTTCTCGACATGCCCGCCAGAGCTGGGATCCAGCAGCTCAACAGTCCTGGACCCACTGAAATTCAACTGAATCGTGTCACGCTTTGGTGCCCCAAGAGCTTCCGGTAACAGTGTATTCAAATCAACACACTCACCTCGCAAAAATCCTCTCTCTCACGTGAGACGGCACGTTCAGTGGATGAGATAGAGAGCCAGCACCCGGACCAGTTGGCGCAGCATTTCCGGTGGGTACGGCCATGGCGGGGGAAGGCTGCGAGGATCCGATGGTGGCAAGCAGTGGGGAGACCGTTTCTGCCAGGGCGGCGGTGACGGCTTTCTGGACTTCGTCAGATATAAATTGCTTGAATTGTCCGCCGTCGAGTGGTGAGGCAGCGTTACTCGGCAGCTCGGGGTCCGCAGCCGAAGAAACAGGTGGGTCGGGAACAGGGCTAGGTGCTGCGCGACGGGTTCTCTTCCTGGTGCCCGACATGACTAGGCAATGACAGTTCGGTCAGCAAAAGACAAAGGCAGCAGGATGCAAGTCGGGCATGAGCCAAAGCAGAGAAGACTCAAAACTGAGAATGGCAAGGAGATGTGCCACGTTGCGGACTCGGACCCGATCAAAACTAAATTAATTATTGTGATGGCGTACGCATAAATTAATGTGATGCACAGCATGCAGGCGGTCTTGCCGGTCGCGGCAAGGCGCGCTAAACAAGTGCCGCGGCCAGAACCGTAGAGGGCGCTGTAGCGCAGCAGATACGTAGTTGCGAGATGTGCGCCTACGCTAAACTGAATTCATTACATGAATACATCAATATATGTGCACATGAAATGCATGTTTTGATTATGAAAACATGAAAGTTCATTCTTGTAGGCAGTATATTCTTTTACACGACCACGCTATAACCGATACGCACTGTACTAGCGCTGAGAGTGCTCAAACTGCTAGAAGAAGCGGGCAAAGCATAAAGCTAACCAGCGGAAATGCGTCCTATTGAGAGTGCTCTACAAGATCGAAATCGAGGAGCGAAATACTCAATGATGCAGACAGCCAGACTGTTTCGGCCAATGAGGCCTCATCAGTCCAACTCCGAGCTTAAAATAGGATTGAACTGTCAGCCATGGCTACGAGAACCACAGACATTAGGACATCTAAAAACAGAGAGGTTCCAGGCTGTCCAAGAGAGTGCTCAATACCGAGTGGTAGAGCTGGTTCAAACAATAGGAGGACAGAGGAAGTGTTTTTACTCAGAGTTTCACGCACTAAGCGATCATCAGAAAACAGTAATTGGAAATCTGGATCAGTTTTGGTTTATATCCTCACAAAGCAAAGTGTAAATAGCGGCAGTGCAAAGCGTGAATGACAGCAAGTGGTGAAAGGTGACAACCACTGGAGCTTGTTGAGGCATGCAGCATTCAATGGGCGGTGCACCGCAGAGCAGCGGCCTACAGCAACAAAAGCAAAAGGTGCAACCTGTGCCTGGCGGAAAAATTGGCAATCGCGCAAGCACCCAAGCACCTCTCTCTAAACAAAAGGAGTGAGCTTGTGTCGAAGTGTCGCCATGAGAATAGGTACTACCTTCGGAACTTTAAACCAGCTACAGCCATCACCTAATTAAGTAAGAGACAACAAGCTCCAGTGGTTGTCACCTTTCACCACTTGCTGTCATTCACGCTTTGCACTGCCGCTATTTACACTTTGCTTTGTGAGGATATAAACCAAAACTGATCCAGATTTCCAATTACTGTTTTCTGATGATCGCTTAGTGCGTGAAACTCTGAGTAAAAACACTTCCTCTGTCCTCCTATTGTTTGAACCAGCTCTACCACTCGGTATTGAGCACTCTCTTGGACAGCCTGGAACCTCTCTGTTTTACAGGTCGCTCCCCTGTTCCCAGGGTTGAGCACTCTCCCTGGCTGTTCAAACTCGAGGATGGACAACCCAAGACCGCTACATCTGGATTACTCACTGAAGAACATTCCCATCCCTTCAGAAGACGCCTACACTACGAGGCTGATCGAGAAGGTTGAAAGCGTGTTGAAGCGGATGCGGTGGAAGGCGTTTTTCTACCTGAAAGGACCGACAACCGACGATCCAAAAGAAACCTATGGCCTTAAATCCCGGAAATGTCCGCCCCAAGTCGACGAACTGAAGGCGTTCGAGGACGATGTGTTAAAAATGATTGAGATGATTGAGTTTCGTAGAGTCGCTGATCCCTTTCAGCAACGACTCCGAAGCGACATCCAGAAAATCAGAGCATCACCGGACATCATCGTGCCAGCTGACAAGACCAGAAACCTCTACGAAGTCAACAAAGAGCAGTACACAAAACTGCTGAGCAACAACATCACCAAGCATTACAAACCTACACCGGCAGAGACTTACGACCAGATCAACTCGGAAGCTCAGACAATTGCTGCGACGCTGGAGCTGGACGACAGAATGGATGCAATGGCGAAGAAGGACGCATACATCACGCTGAAGGACCATAAAGACAACTTTTCCCGGTCCCTGCCATGCCGGCTCATTAATCCCTCAAAGAGTGAAATCGGCATAGTCTCGAAGTCTATACTGGATACCGCTCTAAAACAACTCCGTCCCCAGCTGCAGATTAATGCATGGAGGAACACGGCAGCGGTGATAGAGTGGTTCTCAAGAATACCAGAGAAAGAAAACTGCATATTCGTGTGCTTTGACATCGTAGATTTCTACCCCTCAATCTCCGAAGACCTCCTCCAGAGATCCGTCGAATTCGCCCGCCGCTACACGGACATCTCCCAGGAGGAGGGTGACATAATATTCCACGCCAGGCGATCTCTGCTGTTCGGCTTGGAGAGGCACTGGGTGAAGAGACACAACGAGCACTTTGACGTCACAATGGGGTGCTATGATGGGGCTGAGGTGTGTGAGCTTGTTGGAGCCTTCGCCCTCGCCATGATAGCGGACGTGTTCAACGGCCGAGACGTCGGGTTGTATCGCGACGACGGCCTGGCTGTGTTCAGGAATGCATCAGGACATGAAGCTGACCGAATAAGAAAGGAGATGACCAAAATATTCCAGAACCTCGGACTGAAGATAACGATACAGACAAACCTGAAGAGAGTCGACTTTCTGGACGTGACATTGGACCTGACCACCGGAAAGTACTGCCCTTACCGGAAACCGAACGACAAGCCGATGTACATCAACTGCCAGTCAAACCATCCACCTACAATCATCCAGAACCTACCTGCATCGATCAGCAGAAGACTAACAGATATTTCCAATGATGAAGACGTCTTCATAGATGCGACTCCGATCTACAGTGACGCGCTGAGGAAGAGTGGATACCGGGAGAACGTACAGTATTTTGACGAGCGTAAAACGGACGAGACAAAGAAGAAGAAGAAAAGGAATCGCCCTCGGAACATCATATGGTTCAACCCACCATTTAGCAAGAACGTCGCCACCAACGTTGGACATCGCTTCCTCCAGCTAGTGGCCAAACACTTCCCCAAAGGCTCAAGCCTCAACAAAATCTTCAACCGGAACTCTGTAAAGGTTAGCTACAGTTGCATGCAGAATATGGCCACTATCATCAAGCAACACAATAACACGATTCTACGACCCAAGAAACAAGCTAACGGAGGTGACAACGATACCAGGACTTGTAACTGTCGGGCGAAAGACTCGTGTCCACTGGACGGAGCGTGTCTAACGGAGAGTATCGTATATAAGGCAAGAGTCACCGCAGGTATGGAGAAGAAGGAATATACTGGATTAACAGCAACAACATTCAAACAACGCTACTATAACCACCAATCCTCATTCCGCCACAGACAACACGAGAAGGACACCCGCCTATCGCAGTACGTCTGGACCAAAAAGGATGAAGGGAAGGCATGCAGCATTCAATGGGCGGTGCACCGCAGAGCAGCGGCCTACAGCAACAAAAGCAAAAGGTGCAACCTGTGCCTGGCGGAAAAATTGGCAATCGCGCAAGCACCCAAGCACCTCTCTCTAAACAAAAGGAGTGAGCTTGTGTCGAAGTGTCGCCATGAGAATAGGTACTACCTTCGGAACTTTAAACCAGCTACAGCCATCACCTAATTAAGTAAGAGACAACAAGCTCCAGTGGTTGTCACCTTTCACCACTTGCTGTCATTCACGCTTTGCACTGCCGCTATTTACACTTTGCTTTGTGAGGATATAAACCAAAACTGATCCAGATTTCCAATTACTGTTTTCTGATGATCGCTTAGTGCGTGAAACTCTGAGTAAAAACACTTCCTCTGTCCTCCTATTGTTTGAACCAGCTCTACCACTCGGTATTGAGCACTCTCTTGGACAGCCTGGAACCTCTCTGTTTTACAGGTCGCTCCCCTGTTCCCAGGGTTGAGCACTCTCCCTGGCTGTTCAAACTCGAGGATGGACAACCCAAGACCGCTACATCTGGATTACTCACTGAAGAACATTCCCATCCCTTCAGAAGACGCCTACACTACGAGGCTGATCGAGAAGGTTGAAAGCGTGTTGAAGCGGATGCGGTGGAAGGCGTTTTTCTACCTGAAAGGACCGACAACCGACGATCCAAAAGAAACCTATGGCCTTAAATCCCGGAAATGTCCGCCCCAAGTCGACGAACTGAAGGCGTTCGAGGACGATGTGTTAAAAATGATTGAGATGATTGAGTTTCGTAGAGTCGCTGATCCCTTTCAGCAACGACTCCGAAGCGACATCCAGAAAATCAGAGCATCACCGGACATCATCGTGCCAGCTGACAAGACCAGAAACCTCTACGAAGTCAACAAAGAGCAGTACACAAAACTGCTGAGCAACAACATCACCAAGCATTACAAACCTACACCGGCAGAGACTTACGACCAGATCAACTCGGAAGCTCAGACAATTGCTGCGACGCTGGAGCTGGACGACAGAATGGATGCAATGGCGAAGAAGGACGCATACATCACGCTGAAGGACCATAAAGACAACTTTTCCCGGTCCCTGCCATGCCGGCTCATTAATCCCTCAAAGAGTGAAATCGGCATAGTCTCGAAGTCTATACTGGATACCGCTCTAAAACAACTCCGTCCCCAGCTGCAGATTAATGCATGGAGGAACACGGCAGCGGTGATAGAGTGGTTCTCAAGAATACCAGAGAAAGAAAACTGCATATTCGTGTGCTTTGACATCGTAGATTTCTACCCCTCAATCTCCGAAGACCTCCTCCAGAGATCCGTCGAATTCGCCCGCCGCTACACGGACATCTCCCAGGAGGAGGGTGACATAATATTCCACGCCAGGCGATCTCTGCTGTTCGGCTTGGAGAGGCACTGGGTGAAGAGACACAACGAGCACTTTGACGTCACAATGGGGTGCTATGATGGGGCTGAGGTGTGTGAGCTTGTTGGAGCCTTCGCCCTCGCCATGATAGCGGACGTGTTCAACGGCCGAGACGTCGGGTTGTATCGCGACGACGGCCTGGCTGTGTTCAGGAATGCATC